CCGAGAGACACATCAACCTGAGACCGAGCATTTCGGTTCAATCAATCGACGGGAAAATCTAAAGTTCAGTTAAATAAATGTTCTTTAAAGTTTGGAGTGTCTTATAAACTGGCATCATGTCACATTTGAAGGTATGTTAAAATTGTTCTCTATGTAAATTTACTAATTTCTCTAGACTTTACACAAATGATGAGAAGCCAACGAAATAACTGTGATGCACACCATCTTATTCTACACAAACCTCTTATGATCTTGCTCTATCTACGTTGAAATAATGTTACTCAACAGTAAGTAGTACAGGTAGCAGTGAAGCAAACCTGAGGTGCAGAAGCAGAGAAGACAGGACTTCAAGTGAACATAGAGATAACGAAGGCGATGAAGATAACCACACACACAACCACCACCAACAGCAACAACAGCAACAAGCCCCAATCCCTATCAAGAGGAGAAATTTCAAAAACAGGCTGCTTCCTTCAACGACAGGCGGAACGGATGAAAATGCCAATGTCGGCCAGCCAGCCAGCCAGTCAGAATCAGAAAGGCAGAGCAAGACACACCTTCATCAACATAAATGTTAAGTCAGTCACTTCTTCGATACAGGTCAGACACTTAGCCAGTGTCACGGAAAGGATTTCCAACAAGTTACATTAGACTTTTATCAATAGCTGCCACCTCTACTGGCTGGCTCCATACTGAAGATTAAATGCCCAGCCAATCAGAAAGAATTAGCAACAAGAAACTCAAGCTGTCTGGTTGGCAACAAACCAGTAGGCGAGAGCCGATTGCTTAACAAAGGCATATGTAGGAGGAAATGGATTGATCGGGAGTACATTGTGGAGACCGTCGAATGACATCTTGCTCAAAACAGGACACCGCTCGACTGGAAGCCCAATGGGAAGCGGCGAGCGCTCCGTGACTGCGAGGTTGACATGGAGGAGGAGGGGATGAGAGACTACAGGTAATCATGAAGCTAGTTAGTTGAAGGGGATGGCGAAAAAAATTGGAGATGTGTTACTGTTGTAGCCATTCCTATGTTCCACTCGGTACCCGAGGGAATAATTATAATAATCACTAACTAACTTCCTGAGTGACATTTCGAGTCAACGACTCAGTGTTTCAGATCAAAAGCCCCTACACCAATGAATCACACCTCCATTTTCCACTAAGAACCCAAGCGATACTTCTTCTATGACAATCAATATACTATCCAGTTAGTTGTCTGGACTTAGGTAAACGGACCAAAGATTTAACATCTGCTACCGATCATCTAACTGAACAGTAGTGCGAGACCTAATTGAGCTTGTTTAAGTGTGTTTGCCACCTCTTCTTTCAGGAAACTCACGTTCCATAAATGATTTAAACTAGGGCCACTAAGACTGGAGTCACACACACACACACACACAGGGCTTAGTAATTTAAGTACAAAATGAAAGTCTACAAAGTCCCATTGTAACAACAGAAGACAAGGGCCAGGCAACACATCGTTTTATTACGAAAATCAACACGTATTTATATATATTTCACATACATTATTATAGCTTATGCAAGTAGACAAGCACAGTCTTCTGATTGGTTGTTTATCAGAAGTTAAGCAGACAAACGCAGGCTTCTGATTGGTCGTTTTGGGATTCCTCGATAAATAGAGTTCTCTATCTGCGAATCATATTTTGCCACGTTAAGTCTGCTGTGATTGGTTGTTGAATCAGCCTTGTTCATATTTTCTCACGGCCTGCTCTCACCACACCATCACGATTGAAACCTTAACATTGTACATCACACTGAGGTGAACAAGGCTGTCGTAGCTTAATCAATACAACACACTGCACACTTAATATACACATTCTGACCAACATTGGAGATGACGAATTCACTCCCTGACTTCCGCAAAATAAACGATACAAGCCAGAACCACGAATCGGAAATAAGTTTCCCCAAGGTTTCACACAAAAACACACTGCAAAAGCTTATCTGAGTATAATCTGTCTGTATGTTTTCGACATGGAACTTTGTACCAATGTGCAACACTTCAAGTCGCCACACTCCCTCCATGTACCACACAAAACAAGAGAAATGCACATTAGAGACAGTAAACAGGTGTGAGACAAAGGAATAGTAATAACGAAGAACGATATAGTTTCATATGAAATCATAAGCCACAAGGAGTAGATGCATCTTCGCTAGCCATTGAGAACGATTTTGAGCTATATCACCACCAATTGTCTACAGCCTTCATTGGTGTTTAACGTCCGGAGGACCCCAACTAGTCAGGAAGTCTACACCTTCCTACGTGGCTGGCTTAAACTGTTGTGGATTTCATTGACCGGTGCTATCATGTTTTGGTTAGACAGCTGCTCTCTCTTTTCCAGCCTGACCCTATGTCAGCTAACATTGCCCGTCAGCCGAGGGAGGCGATGACTAGGCATGCATGCGTAACACATGTCCTAACCATCTCACTCGATGTAATTTAGCAGTCTCATCCATTGATTTCCCCTCCCTCCTAATCTAGCTAGCACTCAACAGAAGCTTGACCTCAATATTGCTCACCTTATTATACCACTTCACACGGGAGATAGAGCGCAGGCACCTATGACCAAAGACAGCTAGCTTGCCTTTTCATGTCTTCCACTCTCAATGGCCAGGTCTCACAGCCATAAAGGAAGAAGGAGCGGACTTCTGAACGATACACGCACCCTTTGGTCGATAGCCAGCCGGATATCACGTCCACTAAGCCAGAGACGGCGCAAACTGGCATATGCGAAACTAGCCCCCTGTATCCGTTCTCAGCTGAGATTTCGTCAGAGATCAACCCGTTGACGTTGGCTGGTGGTACTTCCCAAATAAGTGAAGCGGTCAACGTGCTCTACCACTTCACTTCCTATTTCTAAATTAGGAGTTAGCATAGTCCAGTGCTGTAACATCATCTTACATTTGGCGAAAGCAAATCGAATGCCAAACATTCGTGGATTGCAGCTCAATGTGTTCAGAAGACTGCTCTATTTAGTCAGAGTCTTCACCTAGGTGGGAGGACTATATCATCTGCATATTCTAAGTCAACAAGATTATTCCCTGGTAGCAAGTCAATCCCTGTGTCTCTGAATTGAGTTAGGGTTAAATCCATTAGTACATATATGATGAAATTGAATAGAAATGGGGATAATGGGCATCGTCACCACTTCAGATGACAACTCGCCGTAAGCCCTCACCTGGCTGCATGAGTTCGAGTGGAGTGTCTTGATCAGTGCAATGTATTTTCTCGACATTCCCTCTACAGCCAAGCATCGCCAGGGTACCTCTCGGTCGACAGAATCGATATGCCGGATTTATGTTAAGAAATATAACGGATGTTGGACGACGGTAAGTATGCCTGGTTCAGAATCTATCTAAGGGTGAAGATGTGATCAATACACCCTCCTCCTAGTCTAAAGCCTACCTGGCTCTCTCGTGTTTGTTCCTCCCAAGCATCACATAGTCTACGCATGATTATTGAGCCTAGGACTTTAAATACTATGTTGGTCAAGCTAATCCCTTTGTGAATATCACAGGAAGACCTCTCTCCCTTCTTATGTATGGGGATAATCAGTGACTTACACCAACGCGACGGGACTTCTTCTGATAACCAGACGCTGACTAGTAACTCAGTTAATGCAGACAGTAAACTGTCTCCACCGTACTTAAATGCCTCTGGAATCATTCCATCAGAACCTGCTGCTTTGCCTTGTTTCAGATTAGTCACAGCTTTAGTAACCTCAGTTAAGGAAGAATGGACCTGTGTCTATATCCCATTCAGGGAGGTGTTGGATGTTCGGCAGGTTGAGAATGGCTGTGGGCCAATTAAACTGCTCCTCGTAGAGCTCTTGTCAGCGTTCCAGTCGTCTATCTTGAGGGCTAATTATGATGCCATTTTTCTCCGAGATTGTTTCACTTATGATTTGCCTTCTCCCACCCGGTTCCCTGATGAGTCTAAAGAGTTGCCTATCGTCGATGCTTTTTCCATCTCTTTCGCCTTTGTCACCCACCACTGTTCACGGTCGTTGCGAAGACTTCTTGTTAGTTTGCGTTTGAGTACCTTCCACTCCTCATCATAATCAGAGCACGCCGATATCAGTCTTCTTGCGTCAATCAGTTCGGATGAGGCGGTACAGATCCAATAGCTCTTACTAACTTTTGGTTTTAGCTTATTAACAGCTGTGTCTACAGCTAACTGTATGTTGTGCCTGGCTACCTCAGGGGAAGTCCTGTGAAGTTCAAACCGGTGACCCAATTGCTTAGGAGTACAGAGTCAACATCTCCTGGAATATATTTTCATGACGGTCGAGTTGATGTAATACCAAGTTAGTCGTTTAGACTAAGATCAACGGAGCAAAATTTCAGACCCATAACATACTGATCTCGTAACCGTGGAAAATCTACACTCTGCGCTACTGCCCTCTTCGATACACGCACACCTACACACCCATATCCCGCGTAACGTGTCAAAAACGGTAAATCAAGAACACCAATTCACAATTATTCATAAGCAAGCGAAATAATAATTTTGATATTTTAAATTACTGGTCACAATTTTCATTCATATAATGATAGTAATAATAATAATAATAACAATAATAGTAATATTAATAACAATTATAATCATTATTAATAATAATTATTATTATATTTAGAATAAAAAGAATGAAAAAATCAATATCAATGAAAGAAAAAGCAAGAAAAAAAATTACTCAAAGAACAAAGAAAACGAAAGTATTAAAGTATTCAGGATGGCGGGGTGGGGTGCAGGGAACACCCCATTCACTCAGACATACGCTTACATGCACACACACACACACGAAGACGTCATTCAGAAGACCGTTCGGCGGCATCAAACAACAAGCATCAAGCAAAGACACACACATACATACATACCTACATACATACAAATAAAATTAATTCAGAAATCACAAAACGGCCAAAAGTTTTGTATATATCCATATATATATATTCATATATGTGTATAAACGTGTATATATATATATATATATATATATTTATATATATCTGTATAATATTTATATTGTTACTTATATTAATATCAACCATTTTGGTGTGTATACATCAGCACATTATCACGAGATTTAAATAGCGTTTTTATTATCGTTTATTTTTCCAAAAACGTCTCGCCCCCCCCCACCCGTCGTACACACAAACATCACCGTCGTTTTGTTCTGTGTCATGACGAAGCGTTCTTCATCATTAATAAAGATTCGTATTTTAAACACTATATATACATACACACGTGTGTGTGTATATATAAAGAAAGAGTGAGTGAGAAAATACGAGAGAGACACGATAGAAAGAGTGAGGGGAGGGTGGAAAGGGAAGAGAAAGAAAGATGATTACTATAACCAGACACAACAGGATGACGTATAGTAATCCAACTAGACAATTCAATCAATCAGCACTTGAAGAAACAAATACATTGATCGATAGATAGATAGACAAACATACAGATGGATGGACATACAGACAGGCAGATAGATGACAAAAATAAATCAACACCGTATCATGAACATTTGGGATTAACAAAAAAATAATGGATCAAAATCAATAATTACGAGATCAGGATTTGGAGAAAGAAAATGAAAAATGCAAAAAAGACAACAACGCACAGGCAGACAGACAGATACAGTCAGACAAACAACATGAAATGCAACTGTTGCCAAGGCAAAGTGGGAGAGAGAGAGAGACAGATGCGTGTAATGCACACAGAGAGAAGATTGGAAGAAACGTTATTGTTTCGAATAATTAAAAAAAATGCATTCTCACATTGTTCATGTGTGTGTGTAGAATTTATGTGCGCCAACAACACACACGCAGTCACCTACCCACCCACCCACCAGTCTCAATCAAAATGAACTGATGGCATTAAAAATTAATAATAATATGTCAAAAAATAATAATAATAATGTGCTTGCAGATGATGCAATCATTTAAATCAATAATATCAACAAAGGATATGAAGGAGAGAATGTGAAAAGTATGGATGGATAGATGGATGTCATCTTCAAGTTAATTATAAATAAATGCTCAATCTTTCAATGTCATGATGATAAGGGGCATAAGAGAATTGGATAAAAAAAAAGGAGAGAAGACCAACCGAGAATGGGTGGCGAGGGGTGGCAGACAGGCTGATAAGTAGATGAAAATGCCCACAGAAGTGATGAGACCATATACCTATACTATCACGGTGTACAGATATATATCTCATTAAAGGAGAAGGATTGTCATTACAATTATTATTATTATTTATTAGAATTAGAATAGGCAACGAGAACATGGGGTGTATACATCTGAATATATTCAGTCAGTCAGTTCCAGTCACGAAAAACGAGAAGAGAAGAAACACCACCAACAACAAAATGATATTTCTGAAGAAGAAATCTTTGGTAAAGAAGGAAGGTAGGTGTGTAGGTGAGGTGGGAGAAGACATTCACAGACATAGCTATATAACCAAAAATTAAAAGCAACGATAAACCAGTTAAAGTTATAATCAGAGTGTGTTGTCGTCACAAATGTGCGCATGTATGTATGTGTACATATATAGATGTATATAAATAAATAAGTTAAATAAGGGGTAAATCTCAGCTGGTAGAGGCTAAATAAAACTCCTTGTTATTCTTATATATATTCTGTTGCTCTTAATATTGACTAGTTGTCACACTGTTTTTGAAAGAGGACTCGCGGGGAGGGTGTGTGGAGTGGAGTATCGACAAACGAAGGGTGGGGGGCTGAAGATAAATGCAAAAGGGAATTTCGTTAAAAATAAATAAATAAGCAAGAAAAAGCCAAAAAACAAACAAACAGAGAAATGCACCTCCTCCCACGCACACACACACACACACATACAGCACAGTACCATGGTGACGGGGAGGTGGACAAAAATGCAACAAAAACAACACAACACAAAGTGGTAGAAAACAAAATGAATGAAAGTCATATTGTGTGAAAGAGCCTTTCGTCCCCCACCCCCCCCGCCACCACGACGACCTTCAGATCGCTGAACGCACCAACACATAATACTAAATGTGTTAGTAAATCACAAAGATGCAGAGATAGAGACGGGGGGTGGAGGACATTTGACTTTAAATGCATACTTAGTGCCCCCCCGTGTGTCATACATGAAAGAACTTGTTTTAAAAAAAGCAGAAAAACCAAAAAGAAAAAGAAATCATTTTACAAACATCTGATCACGGAAATACAGACACACACGCAGACACAGACACAAATAAAGCAAATGTATATATATTGTAGAAATGATGGAGAGAAAGTTCACCACTCCTCTGTGTGTGTCTGAGAAAACAGATAGATAGACAGACAGAGAGATCAAATGAAATAACGATAATAATAATTAATAATAATCATAATCACAGACTACAGTGTAATATAACTTCTGTTTTAATCGGTAACAATATAAATAAATAAATAATAATAATAATCAACTGAAATGCATTCAACTACTTATGAGTAATCACCATCATCATAATAATAATAAGTACGTTGTAAGATGTAAAAGTGTGAAAAAGAATCACATCAACGTTGAAATGCATTTGAAGAGAAGAGAAATGCACATCACACTCCTCCCCACACACATCCCCCACCACCGACGCTGCTGATGTCAACATACTACCACTCAACTACCACTTTGACGACGACGTAGGAATGAACAAAAATAGGCAACTGAAATATGTATATATGTATAGGTGTGTTTTCTGTAGTACTCGAGAGTTGGGGGTGGGTGGGGTGGACGAGGCAGAAGGGGGGTCAGCGGCGTCGCAGAGATCAGTGGGGTGGGGCAGGACTAGAGAATGGGGGGAGAGAAACAAGGGGGCTGGGGCAACCAAAATGACTTCATACAACAGTCATAATAATAATAGTTGGATGACATTTATGTATATATGTGTGTGGATAGATTGATCGATAAAGAGACATAGTGTGATATTGTGTGTATATTTTAGCATTAAATTGATCGGTCGATCAGTCAGTCAATTGATTTGATGAATTAATATTTCCATTTTAATGAGCAAGCCATTTAGTCATTACTTTATCATCATAACTAGAAATATTGGAATGACTACGAGTCGGTGAAGTTGGTGCACTATGCATAGACGAAGGGATTGGATTCATTACTGATAAATCAGATGGAATGGTCAATCGTGAAGTATTGCCAGAAGGATTACAACCCGATAAGGAGGATGAGGTTGGCGATGTTGCTGTTGCGGTTGTACTTTCACTGCCGCCGCCGCCACCAACACTACCACCAATGATTGAGCGTGGAATTATCTTCAGATTTAAATTATCCACTGGATGACTACTTTCAGACGCAAAAGCAGCGCCACCACCTCCACCAACACCACTAGAAGATATTGATGATGTTGTTGACGTCGTCGTTACTGGTGTTGTTGACACCACCGCTGCCGCCGAAGTGAGTGGTGATGGTGTTGGTGCTGATGATGGAGCTTGTGGTGGTGAGGATGTTGACGACGACAATGGGATATACGGTGTATTGGAGATATGCAGACCAGTCATCACAGATTGTAACGGCTGTTGTTGACTAGGTCGAGTAGTATGATAACGCATAACACTGTAATCAACATTCAGACAATCGAAATCGGCGAATACATCTTGTGCTATAGCCGCCAACTCAGAAGTATTATCAGATGGAGTCAGTACGGGTTCTTCAGTAGTGAAATCCTAAAATGAAATTAAGACAAACAATACGCAATGGATGCAACAATAAATGATAGTAATAATAATCATAATAATTCGTACTGACTGGCTACAATGTAGAACTCTGTACAGATGTGCAGCAGTTCCAGTTGCCAAACTCCCCTCATATAAGGCACACAAGGCAAAATAAGTGAGTAAAGAGAGATTCAAAACAGTTGATCCTCTGTAAGGATTTGATTTGTTTCTCGAATTTCGCCACAGATTGATATCAGTTGCGGAACCATTGAAAACCAGCACTGGAGTACTCCCACCAGACAGCTGTTTCTTCAGACTAGTTTGGGAATCATCGGCAGTACGTACCCACCGTACTGCTCAGCAGTCCGCTCCGTCCTCCTTTATGGCTGGCTGGGAGACCTGGCCATTGAGAGTGGAAGACATGAAAAGCCGGGCTTGTTAGCTGTCTTTGATCATAGGTGCCTGTGTTCTATCTCCCGTGTGAAGTGGTATAATAAGGTGAGCAATATTGACATTAGGCGTCCTCGGGACATTAAAAATCAATGGCTGGAGACAATTGGTGATATGGCTCAAAATCGTTCTCAATGGCTAGCGAAGATGCATCTACTCCTTGTGACTTATGATTTCCAATGAAACTTTATTATTCTTCGTTATTACTATTCTTTTGTCTCACACCTCTGTTTACTGTCTCTATTATGCATTTCTTCTACTTTCCTCTATTGCTTTGTATTCTACAAGGAGGGTGTGTGGCGACTTGAACTGTTGCACATCGGTGCAAAGTTCTGTGTCGAAAACAGACAGACAGACACACTCACCACTAGGGTTTGAACCTACAACCTTCCGGTTACAAGGCAAGCTAGCTCGTATACCATCCAGCCAATAGAACCCAACCCAATTCAATGGCTACCCTATGCATGAATTCTAACTTCCACCAATTCGTGATTTTCAACGCGACCACCACCCAATGTCAAAGGTGGGAAATCCAACCCTACTGCCGACTGGATGTACCTCTCTCTGGTTCATCAAAAGACATAATAAACAGAAATATGAGGCAAAAATAATAGTAATACGGAAGAACAATAAAAATTCATTGGGTATCATAAGTCACAAACAAACAGTGAATGCATCTGCACTATTCATTGAGAACGACTTTGAGCCAGGATCGTGAAAAAGCACAACAGATCTATATTATACTTTGAAATCAGTGTGTGAAAATCAACTGCATAAAACAGAAGCAACAGGTGTTGTGAATCTTCAGAACTGCAATGTCAAGTCAATTCTTCCGTATGGGTCGGAGGAATAGCGAGTCAAGAAAAGCATTTTTAACAGCCTTCTGAAAACCTTCATCAACAACTGACTACTACTCTACTGTAGACTGAATACCAGCTAGCTAGCTAGAAAAGATTAACAACAAGGAACTCTGTCACGCGACGAACAAACAAAAAAACTAAACCATAGCCCGTGAAATATGTTGAAAAACAAAACAGAGATGAATGGGACACGTGACGAGACTTTTGACTGACACCACACACCACAGGCTCTGAGAATGACACAAGGTGATCGCATGAGGAAGGAATGATAGCCTATAGGCAATCGTCAAGCCATCTGAAGAGGATTGCGTTGAGGACAAAGTGGAATGGAGATGTGTGTTACTCAGGACCTAAGGGAATAACATCACATCTGGCTTAGAATCAAGGATGTCACACAAAACTGCACACATGTGAATGAATATACAATATACATTAAAGAATAACCATTATCATTGAGATGGACTCCTAGAGTTCTCAACAGTAATCATCAATATGAATGCAACGAATTGGAAGCAGTCAGGAGGAATTAAGCTTTCGAACTCACCAAAGTACCCTGCAATTCTGAAATGTCTTCTAACCTGGGAAGATTCAGTCTGCACCAATGAGAGGACTAGACACATCACACTAGTTAATAGTGTCAAATCAAAATATCCACCACAATCCTACAAGAGGTCAACCGCGAGTCCGAATAGCTCAGTGGTGACGTCTCTGACCTCAGCCGGAACTGAGTGACGCGGGTTCGAATCTCGGAAGGGACATGAGTTCCTTCAAGGTTGCATATACGCCTTGCTGACTGGTGAGTGCCAACTAGCACGAAACCTAGGTCCAAGACTTCCTACCGATTGCCTGCAACCATCTAGTAGGATACACAACTGTCTACACTCTGTAGAATTTAATTTTGCTTAAAGTCAACTAAGGACTGTCGTCTGTCTGACTTTACTGATGTTGTGTAGGCGTGTGTTTAAAGGTACTCGACTTTGATGAGTCCGATCTGTACGCGAAATGTCTTCTGTTAGCTACACACCTCTCCCTTAGGGTGTGGACTGACGTTTTATACCTCATAAACTAAAAAAAGCAGTCTGGACGATTTATTGATCGTTTGAGAAAAGCACTTTACTGTTATTACATGCTAGCAACAAGAGGGAAAAACTTCGCCCTCAGAACTCCAGCAAAGTACAACTGGTTTGGATTATCACTGTAACTGCTTTTCTTGAATGATCGGCAGAAATCATGCTATATCAAACAAGCACACATACACTGATGCATTGATAAACACATCATGTTCCCAGGTGGATTATGAACTAGCAGCAGTGGAATCCAGGACAAAGTACACTTCGTCTTATTCGGGACGAAGATACCAGAGAGTTATGGTGTTCCCCCCCGATTGACACTTGAACCCTGCACCCAAACACTATTTCAAACGTCAAAGCGCGTCCATACTAGGTGCCGATATATATATATTAACAGAGGTTGAACCACATTACACTCTAATCGATCAATGGGAAAATCGAAATTCACCTTAAAAAGAAGTAATAACTGATCGCCGCTGCACAACAGGAGGTTCTCGTGATTCAATTTGGTTGAGTGAACATCACTTCATGTTACGACGGACAAGATTACAGGCTAATCATAAAATCAAGATCTGTGCATGCATGTACTGACGTAATAACCCTATTGGACAATTTTTATTTGTTTATTTGTGGCTTGATTTCCTGAGATGTCAAATATAAGATACCATCAATTTTCCATTGTGGGTAAAATTTGTTTTTGATAAAGTCTCACAGTCTTATAAAGTAATATGAACTGATGACCACACTTCGAGCACAAACTATTGCCACTCATAATCATATCAAGTTACTCACTCACACAACTTTCTTGCTTCATTTATATACATGTGTGGAATCGATCAGATATTGGAATAAAAATCAATAGGGGATAATGTGCATTCAGAAAAAATAATAATAATATGAGTGTTATTCATCAAATACAATCAGATGGGAAAAATAAGACGACTGTTTTTATAGTCAAAATAAGTAACTTGTTAGAATGTTGTGATGTACGTGAATTGAATTGAAATAGAATTTTAAGATTATTTATTATCCTCCTCTGATTTGACTGACTGACTGGTGGTAATAATATCTTCCATGCATATCTCTGGTATTTGCATCGAGTCATTTCTGTTGCATGTGTTGTGTTGGGCGTGGACTCAATGAACCAGGGAGGATTCAGTAATCAATCTCTCTCGCTCTCCACCTACATATATTACTTCTTAGAATTTTAACCCAGTCCAACCACAATATTGTGTGATTGTGTGTTAATGCGTGAAGCGCAATTAATTGCTCAGCTTTTTCTAAATTACTTATCTTCTTGGGGTCAACCATTCTTGTCTTAACTAAACATAGGAACAAGAATTTAGCTAAGGTTAGAATGGTTCACCCCGTGAAGATAAGTAATTTAGAAAAAAGCTCAGCAATTGAACTACATACACTAACATACAACCATACAATAGGGTGGGTGAGAGAGGGTTAAAATTTTAAAAAGTAATCTAAGTAGGTGGACAGAGAGGTTGATTACTGAGAATCCTGCCTGGTTCATCGAGTCTACACCCAACACATGCACAACAGGAATGATTCATCATCACTCATACCCGAAATATGGAAAATAATACTACCAATCAAGTTAAGCGATGGAAAATAATGGAATTATATTAGACGAAGTTAGAAAGTTGCATGAGTAACTTGATATGATTATGAGTGGCAATAAATTGTGCTCGAAAAGTCATCAGTAAACATTACTGTATAACACTGTGAGACTTTATCAGAAATAAATTTTACCCATAATGGAATTATGCTCTATCACAGTGCACAAGTTTTATTCTTATACCAAAAATTTTGTTTTCAGGGAATGTTCTGGTTGTGTTCGACCTTCATGTTTACCTCAATATGGGAAATAATTTTAAGTGATCAGTAGATCATTTTGTTGTATTATTCTGGAGGAGCATTCGAGTCAAGTTAGACAATCCCAACAAGCCAGTAACACTCCGTCATAACACTTTGGTGTTTCAAATGCGATGGGTAAACGGTTGTTCGAGCCTCAGTGGGGAATGCAAGCAGGTGTACATCCACTAGCTGACGGGTCCCAAATAGGACGAAATGTGCGATGTCCTAGACTTCACTGCTAGTCTAACCAACTACCAAATCACTTCAAATATGTGAAGATGGGAGTAAAACAAGACTGTCTACTATCGTCAATGATTTTCCTGATTGTAGAAGATTGGATAATGCGACAGACAGTAGGCAGTGGGGAAACATGCATCAAATGTACTCTCACAAAAAACTTCCAGGATATGAACTTCATCGATGACATATGTCTGATTTCCCACAAACTGGGAGATATGCTAGTGAAAAGCAACAAGTTGGCAGAAGAAGCATCAAAGATAGGACTTCACTACAGGTGAACATAGAGAAAACAGAGGGGATGAAGATTCCTGGCCAACACCAGTAGCAACAACAACAATAGATAACAATCAGCATAAATGGGACGAACCTGAAAGAAACAACCTCCATTACCTACCTACCTATCTGAGAAGCATCGGGACCTGATAGAATGACTCCAGAGGTATTTAAGTACGGTGGAGACAGCTTACTGTCCGGATTAACTGAGGTACTAGGCAGCGTCTGGGAATCAGAAGAAGTCCCATCGGGTTGGTGTAAGTCACTGATTATCCCCATATACAAGAAGGGAGACAAGTCTTCCTGTGATAATCACAGAGGGATTAGCTTGACTAATATAGTATCTAAAGTCTTAGGCTCAATAATCATGCGTAGACTGAGTGGTGCTCGGGAAGCACAAACACGAGAGAGCCAGGCAGGCTTTAGACCAGGAAGAGGGTGTATTGATCATATCTTCACCCTCCGACAGATTCTAGAACATAGGCATTCCTACCGGCGTCCAACAGTCATTATATTTCTTGACCTAAAGGCAGCATTCGACTCTGTCGATCGGGAAGTTCTCTGGAGATGCTTGGCTGTAAAGGGAATTCCAAGAAAATATATTGCACTGATTAAGGCACTCTACTCGTACTCATACAGCCAGGTGAGGGCTTACGGCGAGCTGTCATCTGAACTGATGACGACCAGTGGTGTCCGTCAAGGATGCCCATTATCTCCTTTTCTATTCAACTTCATCATAGATGTGTTAATGGACTTAACCCTAGGTGACTTCAGCGACTCAGGGATTGACTTGCTACCGGGGAATAATCTCGTTGACTTGGAATATGCAGACGATATAGTCCTTCTAGGCGAAGACGCTGACAAAATGCAGAGTCTTCTAAACACCTTGAGCCGCAATCTACGAATGTTTGGCATGCGATTCGCTCCCGCCAAATGCAAGATGATGTTACAGGACTGGACTACATCGACGCCTAGTTTAAAAATAGGAAGTGAAGTGGTAGAGCACGTTGACCGCTTCACTTATTTGGGAAGTACCATCAGCGCCAACGGGTTGATCTCTGACGAAATCTCAGCACGAATACAAGGGGCTCGTTTCGCATTTGTTAGTTTACGCCGACTCTGGCGTAGACGAGATGTTCGACTATCGACCAAAGGGCGGGTGTACTGCTCATCAGTCCGCTCCGTCCTCCTTTATGGCTGTGAGTGAGACCTGGCCACTGAGAGTGGAAGACATGAAAAGACTAGCTGTCTTTGATCATAGGTGCCTGCGGTCTATTTCCCGTGTAAAGTGGCATAATAAGGTGAGCAACATGGAGGTTAGGCGTAGAGTTCTAGGTAAACAGGGGAAATCAATCGACGAAGTCGTGAAGCTACAAAGACTGAGATGGTTAGGACATGTGTTACGTATGCCAAGCCATCGCCTCCCTCGACGAGCAATGTTAGCGGATATAGGGTCAGGCTGGAAAAAAGCTAGCGGCGGTCAAACAAAAACTTGGCATCAGTCAATGAAATCCACAACAGTTGGTCTAAGCCACGTAGGAAGGTGTAGACTTCCAGGCTGGGGTCCTCGGGACGGTAAAAATCTATGGTTGGAAACAATTGGTGACATGGCTCAAAACCGTTCTCAGTGGCGCAGATGCATCCACTCCCTGTGACTTATGATCTTCAATGAAACTGTTTTGTATTTCTTTATTACTCCTTTGTCTCACACCTCTGCTCACTGTTTCTATTATGCTTTTCTTGTACTTTCTTCTCTTGCTTCGCGTGCTACACGGAATGTGGCGACTTGAACTTCCGCACATTTGTGCAAAGTTCTATGTCGAAAACAGACAGACAGAGGCAGAAGCATCGTTTCAACTACAGGTGAACGGAACTGACGAGGATTTCAAAGCAGGGAGGATCGGGAAAGCAGAACAAGCTTTCATTACTCTCAAGTCTGTGTGCAGGAGGTCAACAGCACTCAGCATGGAAAGGAAAATAAGATCCGGATTTTCAACTACAATGTGAAACCAGTGCTACTTACTAATACGGATCAGAGACTTGACCGGCGCGTCATAAAGAGCACCTCAAACAAACTTCAGACCTTCATTAACAGTTGTCTTCGCTCAATACTCAAGATCAGATGGTCGGCCAGAAAAGATCACCAACAGGGGTCTCTACCAATCAGCGAACCAACCAGGAACCAATTGTGCAACAAATAACGAGGAAGAAATGGAGGTGGATTGGCTGGTCATACACTGAGAAAACAAACTATCAAGTGACATCCACTAGACAAGCCCTCGAGTGGAACCCGAAAGGGAAGCGGTCAGTTGGTAGTCCAAGGGTGACTTGGAGGAGGTCATGTGAAGAGGAGATGAAAGCATGTGGGTAGACGTGAAGCCAGGTGAAAACTCTAGCAGAGAACCAAACGCAATGGGGACGTTTGGCTGAAGCCCTGTGTTCCTCTAGGAACTAAAGGAAATAATAATAATAATTTGTACAACAATGTAATAGCACACATGCATACCTTGTCAAAATTGCTTGTATCAATTCTAGAACGAACTTTAGGCCGAAATGGTGGGCGTACTCTACGCTCTTCTAGGATTTGCCAATCAATTTCTTTGAAAAATGGATGTCGTTGTATAGCCAATTCTCCGCCATCAGCTACTACACAACCAAGTCGACGTGCCGGTGATTTAACTAAGAACTAAATAAAGGGACAAGAAAAAAGACGACAGTTAACTTATAACAAAATATATACATACACACACACACACATACAGGTATATTTCAATAAGAAGAGCAGACAGTAAACAAACAAGGAGAGACGTCCTTTTAAGAAGTGTGTGAATAAAAATTACAGATAAAAGTGAAACATTTCATATCTCCCGATCGATAGCTGCTACCTTGACGTGGTGGTCGCCAGGCTTGCACACTGCGAGGACCCAACAAGCTACACTGGTTGAAACCAATGTTCCTGCACGTCCTACCATGTCAGGAAGGTTGTTACGATAGCGATTAGACTAAAAGCAGTTACTGGAATTGTGTAAGAATTCTTCTTTGTTGCACTATGCTGGGGGTCTGAGGGCGAAGTCGTACTCCTGGGGAACAGGGATGTAACAGCAGTGTAAGGTGTTTCCCTCAGATGACCACCATGCCAACCAGCTATGCTGTCTCTCCACTCTGGAGAGAGGGAGTGAGTAAAGGTCGATATCCAAAAATTGTACATCCCGACTTACTCCACCTACGGTGGTCCGTATTCGGCGGTAAGTTTACTAACACGGAACCAATCCCAGAAACCAATTCATACAGGCCGTGTGTGACCGGCCTCAAGCAGCTGTCCCCTCAGCTCTGCGGTCACGCAACACTAACCCTCATTCTGTTTCAGGTACCCGAAGAATCAATAAACTTCCACGGTGTGGGCAGTCGGGAAGTAACAACCACCCACATACTTCCAAAAGCACACGAAGCCTTCCTGAACATCTTTCTCTTCTATCTAAGCAATTGTCGACCATTTATTTGAGCTGTTTGAGAATAGTTTTAGGCTTCCCCGTACTGATGGGGGTCACTGTCCACCACCACCACACCAGCCTTGGAAGTGAATGGTAAAAGCGGAAAGGTGGTCAGCCAATGATGGGATGGCTCCATGGGGATGAAGGATATTTGTGTTAGGCTTGGCATCACTCAATACACATGACGACCCCATCCGTGCTTGGGGACTGGGAGATAGTTCAAATCGGTGGCTCAAAACCTTATCATCATCAGATAGGGCCGAGAATCGCAACCAATGGCGAATATATTGCAATTTCTTTCTTTCTTTTTTTCTAACTTTGTGAAAGTAACAAGAAGTGATGAAAGTTCAGTTGATCCTGACAAGCATTCCTGCTTGCTTTTCTGAGGGTGATGTCCCTCATTCATTCGCTCCCTGTTTCTTTTATATATATTGTGGTTTTATTATTTTTGCATGACGTATCTGTTTGTCCTCATAATGTATCAAGTTTGTGTTTTGTGTAAAAAAAAATTTTTTTTTAAATAAATAAATAAAACTGATTGCCTTGGTTACCCAAAAATACACCTTTTCATTGTACACCACCAAGTTATATGAGCCATATTATTTTTAATGTGTGTGTGGTCTAGGAGTGTTACCACCATGCAGTAGTCACTCACGCTGAGGAACTGGACTAGACTGGTTTCAACACAGAACTTTGCACCAATGTGCACCAGTTCATGTCGCCACACTCCCTCCATGTACCACACAAAGCAACAGAAGAAAGTAAAAAGAGTTGCAAAATAGAGACAGTAAACAGAGAATGAGGCAAAAAGAATAGTAGTATCGAAGAACATAATTTTATTTGGTATTATAATTCACATGGAGTGGATACATCTGCGCCGTCGCTGAGAACGATCACTTTGAGCCATATCACCGCCAATTGCCTACAGCCTTCATTGGTTTTTACCGTCCCGAAGACCCCAACCAGTCAGGAACTCCACATATTCCTACGTGGCTGGCTGGCTTAAACTTACTGTTGCGGATTTCATTGACTGATGAAGCCATGTTTTGGTTCTACCACCACTAGCTCTTTTCCAACCTCATTCATCTTATGTCGGATAACATTGCCCGTCGAGGAAGGCGATTGATGGCCACGCCTACGTAACACATGTCCTAACCATCTCAATCGATGTAACTGCTTCACAGCCTCGTCTATTGATTTCCCCTCCCTCCTTATCCAGCACTCAACAGAAGCTTAACATCAATACTGCTCACCTTATTATACCACTCCACACGGGAGATAGAGTGCGGGCACCTATGATCAAAGACAGCTAACGAGCCAAGCTTTACATCCTCCTTAGTATATATATATATATATATATATATATATATATATTTGGGAAGTACCATTAGCCAGTGCCAACGGGTTGATCTCTGACGAAATCTCAGCTGAGAACGGATACAGAGGGCTAGTTTCACATATGCCAGTTTACGCCGTCTCTAGCCTAGTAGACGTGATATCCGGCTGGCTATCGACCAAAGGGCGGGTGTACTGCTCATCAGTCCGCTCCGTCCTCCTTCATGCCTGTGAGTGAGACCTGGCCACTAAGGGTGGAAGACATGAAAAGCTTGGCTCGTTAGCTGTCTTTGATCATAGGTGCCCGCACTCTATCTCCCGTGTGGAGTGGTATAATAAGGTGAGCAGTATTGATGTTAAGCTTCTGTTGAGTGCTGGATAAGGAGGGACGGGAAATCAATAGACGAGGCTGTGAAGCAGTTACATCGATTGAGATGGTTAGGACATGTGTTACGTAGGCGTGGCCATCAATCGCCTTCCTCGACGGGCAATGTTATCCGACATAAGATGAATGAGGTTGGAAAAGAGCTAGTGGTGGTAGAACCAAAACATGGCTTCATCAGTCAATGAAATCCGCAACAGTAAGTTTAAGCCAGCCAGCCACGTAGGAATATGTGGAGTTCCTGACTGGTTGGGGTCTTCGGGACGGTAAAAACCAATGAAGGCTGTAGGCAATTGGTGGTGATATGGCTCAAAGTGATCGTTCTCATTGATGGTGCAGATGTATCCACTCCATGTGACTTATAATACCAAATAAAATTATGTTCTTCGATACTACTATTCTTTTTGCCTCATATCTCTGTTTACTGTCTCTATTTTGCAACTCTTTTATGTCGAAGACAGACAGATACATATATGGACAACAGAGTTATCCTAACATACGTTAGGACTCAAGATTCCACCTTTTATCCACTGTCCATACCTCTTAACTCTGCAGGCGGACAAATTATATATCCTTTTAGGATTATCGAGTTTGTTGCAGCTCGGTACTAGCCGTTAGTCGTGTAGCAGCAGCATTCAAACTACGGCCTCCAGTATTTCGCCTAATCTATCATTCAGGCACCGGTTGAGGTTATCATACCCTACATGAAGCAAAAGAGTTGCCTGCAAATTGAGATCAGGGCTTCAGAGGTGTGCTTTTTAAACGCGCGGCAAAATGATTCAATGCACTTCAGTGCAATGTCTATGTCGACTTGTCTGTCTACCATGCATGAATGAATCATTGAGGGGCTCTCCCATAAAAAAAACTGTCACTTATGCACATCATTGTACTCGATCTCCCGACCAACGCATTCCTGAAGGCGTTTTACAGCCGGTGGTAAGCCCAGCAAAGAGGGAAGGTCGAGCGTGAGGCTAGGGGAACCTCGACAGGTAGGGGATCAACACCACTCTGCTACTGGAACTTTGAAGCTTATGCCCCCACTGGAGACACAAGGGAATAGGAAAAAATGACTGTGTATCCCAGAACCACACACGCGCACACAAACAAACACACGTGTGATTATTCACACTTACTTTCGATAAAATATCCACAGCATCTGGATGTAAATTCGGTGGATAGGTGACTTCTTCATATGAGATAGCATTGAACAAGTCTTGTTCTGTATCGCCTTCAAATGGTGGAGCACCAGCCATCATTTCATACATTAACACGCCTAAAGCCCACCAATCAACACTGAACCCATAATCCAATTCAGCTAGAATCTAGTAAAAAACAAAGAAAAACACAAAGGAGGATGAATTAAAATTTTCAGACCTATGTGAACTCTAGCAAGCAAAGGATCTATTGCTCAACCGAAAAATATACAGAAACAGATAGAGCTGGATTGGAGATATGCAATGAGGAGTGAGTGGTGGGACCTTCTAATGACACTACAGACCAGCCAGACCCTTCTTGATTGGAAACGATATGTTGGATGTGAGTCTGAAGATGACATGGGAAGGCGTGGGTGGTAAGGGAGACCACTTAAAGGGCAATAGTAGTTGGAGCCGGGTGAAAGCGATTACAGAGAACAGAGTAAATTGGAGATGGACCCCCTCCCTTGCTTGCCCGCTTGAGATCATATTTCTCACTTGAAATGAAGAGTAGTACAGTGCACGTAACATAACAATGTGAAGTAATGCTGATTTATAGTCCGGGTTCGATTCCCGGGCGACACAAAGCTTAACCTCCCCTTAGTTTGCTAACCTGTAGTCAGCCAGGATAATAAACAAAGAATGTTGGGTGGTTGTGAGGTTAGCAACCCCACCCACCTAATGGGAAGACAACACCACCCGTTATTGGAACTATAGAGCTTGAGATCGCATGTTTCATTCGGAATGTAAGGGATAAAAAAAATGAACATCAGCATTATAATGAACTTACATGAACAGCACACTACACTACAAGGCAAGTTTATAAAACTCAATTTGAACTCATTGAACTTATTTATCTATCGTTATTATCATTATACAATCAAGGTAACTCTGCAAGTAACAAACCCTTTAAATTAATTTAATTGAATTTTGCATTTATTCAAATTGGGCTTTTACAGCAGCATCCGGCTATCAACCAAGGGATGTGTGTACTGCTCATCAGTTCGCTCTGCCCTTCTCTATGACTCTGAAACATGGCCAATACGATTGGAAGACATGAAAAGGTTGACTGTTTTTGATCATAGATGTCTACGATCTCTTTCTCACGTTAGGTGGTATAATTACGTAAGTAATGTTGACGTTAGGGGTAGACTGTTGGGTAAAGAGGAAAAATCAATCGATGAGGCTATAAAGCTACATAGATTGAGATGGCTAGGTCACGTGCTGTGCATGCCTAACCATCGCCTCCCCCGACGACGGGCTTTGCTAGCTGATATAGGTTCAGGTTGGAAAAGAGCCAGTGGTGGCCAAACAAAAACATGGCCTCATCAATCCATGAAATCCTTGACAGTTAAACTGAGTCAGTCAGGTAGGGAGATGCAGACTCCCGGGTTGGGGTCCTCGGGACTCTAGGAATCAATGGCTGGAAACAATAGGTGACATGGCTCAAAATCGTTGTCAATGGCCAGCGCAGATGTATTCAGTCTCTGTAATCTTTCATATTCCTTTCTACCATTACTCATTCTGTTTCACTCTTATACTTGTCAAACTCTATTGATTCTCTTCACTCATCTTCTTGTCTGCCTTTGTGTGGTATTTGGAACGTGGCAACTCGAACTGGTGCACTTTGGTGCCAAGTTCTATGTTGAATCCAGACAGACAGACAGCAGCATAAAATGATAACATGTTAATTTCACATCAACAGTAGGTATGACAGCTGCAAATTTGTTGATGATGGCCAATCAATTCAGGTACAAAAAACAGCAAATGATTGGCGATATAATAGTTGGAAGCTACACTATTTTAGTGAGTAAAACAGAGGATTACTAGCAATATTATTATTATTATTGTAGTGAGAGCCTGCTGTTAGCCAAAGTTGGTAGATAGTTATTTACGTCAATGTTTACGTCCCCAATATTTGGTCATGTGTAGATTTCCTAAATAAACGATCTATTGCCTGGCCTTTGTCTTCTGTTGTCACATTATTATCATTGTCCCCTTGGCTTCTGAGCAGAGCATATGGCTTCAACAGAACGTGTCTCCATTTTGTCCTGTTCTGTGCCAATCCTCTGTAGCTGGACTCACGATTGTCCGCAATATCTCATCTCCTTCTAGCAAGTCACTACTCTCAGACCCCAGTCCCACTCTTCGTCTCTCATTCGGGTACCACTCGATATGCTATCCAACGCCCAATCCACTTCCATTTTCTACGGAATATTTGCCGAGCAATTGGTTCTTGTTTGGTTTGTTCCCAGCGAGAGATTTTCTTGCCACTAATTCTTTCTGGCCTGCCTTCCGATCTTGAATATGGAATCAGCCAACGAAGAAGGAGGCAGTTATTGATAAAAGTCTGCAGGTGCCTGTTGGAAATGCTTTTTCGTGACGTGCTGGCCAATTCTCTGACCCATAGAGAAGACCTGACTCACTGACTGACTTCACATTTGTGTTGAACAGAATCCGAATGTTCTCCTCAATGCTGGCTGGCTGAGTTAGTGCAGAAGATGCCTAGACTGATTTCAGAGTGATGAAGGTGTACCTCACGCCTTTCCGACTCAGATTTAAGGCATCTCTATCCGTTCCACCGCCTGTAGTTGAAACGATGCTTCTTAGACGAGTGAAGTAAATGACTTCCTTCAAATTTCTCCCGTTGATAGGGACTGGTGCTGGTTGTTGTTGATGATTGGGTATCTTCCATCATCCTTCGTCTTCTCTATATTCACTTGGTTTTCACCTGCAAGTCTGGAAGTCAGTCAAATACACACCGTGTGTTCTCTAGCTGGTATCAGTGTTTGTGGAAACAAAACAGCAACGAAATTATTAAATCCCCCCTCCCACCTGCATACCCCCCCCCCAGAGACCTTAGAAAACACTGAAGATTGTCTATTTTTCATACCTAACTAAATATTCCATGGCACGAAAGATTCAAGTGAATGCCCAGTAGCCTAATTGATCCTCAGATCAATTAACAGGCACCTTTTGGATAAAAACCGAATACACCAAGTGTTGGTTCGCACAGGGAATTGATTGCTTTCAAGATAGACACTACGAACTGACACCAGTTAGGGAACCGCCATTGAAAGTACTGAAGTATTAGACAGTTGCTTTGCTTTACCCTAGTTTAGGACTCTTCTGTGGCATACGTAATAACGACTTCATTGGAGGGATGGAACCCAGGACCTTCAGGTTACGAAGGCAGCTTATGAAAAACAATACAGCCACTAGATTCTGCTGTGTTATGCAAGGCACATTAGCTAAATATCTATACTTAGGTAAATTGTTTGATAGATAGTTTAAAATACCATTGTAGTACTTCGATCAGCTTGGATCCAACCCCCACCCCCCACCCTTGAAAACGAATAGAATCAATCGTAATTACGAATAAGTTTGGCGTTTTCTCTCTGAAGAAAAATAGCAACAATTATCAATGGGAAAGATTTATAGCTCCGGGGATATGAGAATGGACACTGCTCTCTTCTCTCTTTAAGCTTCAATATTTAATCTCGGACGTTCGGCAATCCAGCTCGATAGCATTTTCAGCACAAATCCCAAAAAAATTTCCAACAGCAATAAAATTATACACATATCATACATAAATCTACCACCTACCTCTGGTGCAATATAATCCGGTGTCCCACAGAAAGTCGATGTTGTCTTGCCCGGTTTCATGCCTTCTTTACACATTCCAAAATCGGCTAATTTACAATGTCCTTCAGCATCTAACAGGATATTATCCAGTTTTAAATCACGATAAACAATATAATGATTGTGTAAAAACATAAGAGCTAAGATCACCTCAGCTGCATAGAATCTTGCACGAGCTTCATCGAAACGACGTGCACGTTGTATTTGAAACATTAAATCCCCCCCATTCACATATTCCATAACAAAAAATAAACGATCCTATACAGCAAAAAAAACAAAAAAAAATTCGATAGGAAAGAGATTGAAGTTATTAGAATCATTTTCAAGTTTAAATAAACTTTGACAAATCCTAAAAGAATTAATAATACTAAGGTGTACCATGAATGTAGACTTCAAATGTGACGGCACGCTTTACAGGCAAGTGGACGGGGTGGCGATGGGCTCCCCACTGAGTCCCATTTAGGCTGATTTCCTACTAAGTAAGCTAGAAAATGAACCTTTAAACAACCTTATCAGTAAGTTCTCATTTTATTGCCGGTATATGGATGACACCTTCATCCTTTGTGATAATTATTCGGATAAGAGTACAATAGCTACTGGATTCAATGAAGTACATTCGGTTATGAAATTCACATACAAAGAGGAATCTCAAGACAGAATTGCCTTCCTGGATCTCCTACTTACAAGAAAACCAGATGATAGCATAAACAGAAATTTGCATAGGGAAAGTACTTGGACAGGACAATATACACATTCTCACAGCTTCGTTCCTATCAAGTACAAAAGAAATTCAGTGAAGACATGTGAAGTTGCATTAGTTGAGATGGCTGGAGGCTAGCGCTACGCATGCCAAACCACCGCCTTTCTCTCATCGAGCAATGTTAAGCCCACTGGATTAGGTTGGGAGAAAATGTGTTCGGGGTGGTCATCAAGTTTTTGACCACTGACTGGACCCAACCACACACAATGAGGTATAGACTGTTTGATTGCCACACCACCCTCGAGATGCTAAGAACTAATGGTTGGAGACTGTTGGCGACATGGCGCAGATATCATCACTATTTTTATAATCTCTGACATCCATGGAGTCTTTATGCATTTCCATGTAACTATTTCTTCTTGCACACATTCCCACATATTATAATTCTTTGGAATACCCCCCCCCCACCTTCTATCTGTGTGCTATACAGAGAGTATAGGGTCTGTCTGCCTGTTTTCGACATAGAACTTTGCACATATGTGCACCAGTTCAAGTCGCCACACTCCCTTCATGTAGCACACATAGCAAGAAAAGAAAGTAAAAAGAAATGCAAAATAGAGACAGTAAACAGAGATATGAGACAAAGGAATAGTAATAACCAAGAACAATATAGTTTCATTGGAAATCATAAGTCACAAGGAGTGGATGCATCTGCGCTAGCCATTGAGAACGACTTTGAGCCATATCACCAATTGTTCCCAGCCATTAATTTTTACCGACCCTAGGACCCCAATCAGACAGCAGTCTACACCTTCTTACGTGGCTTAAACCAACTGTTGTGGATTTCATTGACTGATGTCATGATGCTAGCTCTTTTCCAGCCTGACCCTATGTCAGCTAACATTGCCCATCATTCGAGGAAGGCGATGACTAGGCATACGTAACACATCTCCTAACCACCTCAGTCTATATAACTACACAACCTCGTCTATTGATTTCCCCACCTTACCTAGCACTCGACGTCTAACCTCAATATTGCTCACCTTATTATGCCACTTCACACGGGAGATAGAACGCAGGCACCTATGATCAAAGACAGCTAACGAGCCAAGCTTTTCATGTCTTCCACTCTCAATGGCCAGGTCTCACTCACAGGCATGAAGGAGGACGGAGCGGACTGATGAGCAGTACACCCGCCCTTTGGTCGATAGCCGAATATCTCGTCTACGCCAGAGACGGCGTAAACTGGCATTCGCGAAACGAGCCCCCTGTATCCGTGTTGAGATTTCGTCAGAGATCAACCCGTTGGCGTTGGCTGATAGTACTTCCCAAATAAGTGAAGCGGTCAACGTGCTCTACCACTTCACTTCCTAATTTTAAACTGGGAGTCGCTGTAGTCCAGTCCTGTAACATCATCTTGCATTTGGCGTGAGCGAATCACATGCCAAACATTCATAGATAGGGTATGGACTTGAAGTAGTTCTCAACGTAGAATTTCCCGTAGAAGTGCAAGTACACTGAGGGAGGGGAGGAAAGAGTGATGACGTCGGTTTAAAACCCACTCACTCACACTCAAAAATTGCATTACATAAAAACAAATACAAAAATAAATAAATCAATAATATTCTTACCTCAGTTTGAAATGCACAATATAATGCAGTTAAAAATGGATGATGTACAGCCAGGACGAGAATACGTCTCTCTGTCAGTGTGCAGTCCACATCTTCATCTTGTAGGATAACTTCCTTTTTCAATACTTTCACAGCGAACACCTCACCAGTTGCTTTATATTCAGCTAACATAACTTTACCAAAACTACCTTTGCCTAATACTTTAAGAAATGTAAAATCATTCAAACATGGGATACGTGGACCTGTTGTTGTACAACCATAAACATCAGGAGGATCCTATATGGTACAAAAAAACACAAACAAATGAAAATTAGATTTGCGGTCTTTTTCATTGGAAAAAATTAAGATGTTTTACCAACCAGTTGGTGCGCCAACCACAGACGTGGTTCGGGGTTCGATTCCCGGTTGACGCGCACTCCTCACACCTCCCTTAGCCGATAGTGATAAGTAGGTCAGGTAAGAAGAAGGAACGTTTAACGTAAGTCTACAAAAGCCCCAATCTGTAGCAAAACAAAAACCATCACTATCGCTATTGAAACTTCGAGGGGAAATAAATCGAATTCGCGATTTACCATGCACACACAGTTTCCTTTGGAAAGCAAGAATCATTCAGATCACACACCCAACATATGATCAGATCAGTCAAGTTTCTGACTGCAGCCGAAACTGGGTGACGCGGGGTCGAATCTAAGAAGGGGCATGAGTTCCTTCAGGGTGGTTGCAGATACGCCTTGCTGACTGGCTGGTGAGTGCCAACTAGCGCGAAACCTAGGTGCAACCAAGGCTTCCTGTGGCCGATTGCCTCCAACCATCTAATACCAACATTTCACAGTGCACCGTAATGGCGAGCCACCTAGTGGCATGGCGGCCACATTGCAAGCTTGACTGATAGGATCCAGTCTGCAGCGAAGATAGGACTAGACACATTAAACTAGTTACTGACTAGTGTGCAGTCAGAAATGAGTAAGTTGTATACCACTCACTGGCGTCGTCGCGACGTCAGCCTGGCAGCTGTCAAAGGTTGGGTTTAAAATGCTTCGGTGTGCGTAGTCCTACTCTACACCTATGAGAAATTCGGCCTCTCTTAGCTGAGTGTGTGTGGCGGCTCTGCATATTCGACCATCGTTATCTCCATAGGATTGTTTGCATTTGATGTTATTATGGTATGAGTAATTCTGAGGTCTAGGGTAGTGTGTGTTTGGACACAGTGGAGATCACCATTCACTAAGTATTGCCATCATCTCGCAACACCGGCTCCGGTTGCACGGACATGTGCTACCGATGTGATGCCAGTTGCATTGTGTACCGGTGTCTCTGTTCGCTAGCCAGTCCTGGGATGGGATGGAAAAAGCAAAGAGGTCATCAATCAATATAACGTGGCGTCGTGCGGTGAAGGATATTTGTGTTGGGTTAACATCATTTGGTGCGTCACGACTCCCTAATTGGAGTCCGAGAGATAGTTCTAATCGGCGGCTCGAAACCTTATCGGATATGGCCGAGAATCGCGATCATCAATGGCGAACGTGCTTCAATTTCCTTCTCTCTTTCCCCTTTCTGACAATAACTGACGAATGCTGTTTGCACTTGTTGAAAATCACTGTTTTCCTCCCAGATGAAGTACTTTATCCGTTCTCTACACCTACACATTTTTACTTCTAATCTATGTTGTTTTATTATTATTGTGTGGTGCATCTTTCTTGGTGCCATATTGTGCCAAGTTTTTCTGTTTAAATAAAATACCGCTCACTCATATGAATCGGTTGTAGTGCTAACCAGAAATCGGATGGATCGAACTGATTCGGCCTCTTTGAACTGATGAGTTCGGCCTCAAACAAGCAAAACAGCCGGCCGGTGATGGTGTCTAGATCACCTCAATATCGCTGGCTAAAACAAGCACTACTGGTTGATATGAGTGGTATGCAACTACTCATCATCTCTGTCAATTCAGTAGTATATAGTCTTGTTTAAAGCTCAATGCTCGAAATTCTACGTTCCATTTGGAACGAAAAAGGATAATCAACCAGTAGGGGATATAAAGAAACTAACTGCCATTGACCACCACTACATGTGTACCTGCGTACTATCTCCTATATTTCATTGAAGACTGACCAAAACCAGTTTGAAACCAGAATCGACAATTTAAGGCATTGAAAGGTCCTTTGATGTCCAGCTTTATACAACGAATCAAATTTAGTTGCTGATGATAGTGTACGACATATACATTGCATAATCCGTCTATTACATTTGTTGTTGTTGTCACCGGCATAGGCCCACTCTTCTCTTCTGAGATTTCTATGAGCCCAGAGTATGATAGATATTTGTAGGGGGACACTCATATTCGATCTTCAGTCTATTTGCCTGTTGTGTATTTCACTACCGAACCCAAATCTCCGTATTGGTTTGTTGGGATTTGATTGGTATCAAAGATTTCATCATGAGCTGGCATTAGTTAGACAACCATTGGAAAATCTGCATGGAGTACTGGACAGCTGCTTCGTCCTAGTACCTGGGACTCCTCATCAGTCGCACCCCCACCGGGATTCGAACCCAGGACCTTATGGTTACAAGGTGAGCTCGTATACCACTAAGCCACTGAGACCCGATCCAATGGCCCATGAATTCTAACTTCCGCTAATTCACGACATAGGGCGACCACTAGTCAATGTCTAAGGAGAGCATTTGTCCTCACACCCGACCTGCTGCACCCTACTGGTCACGACTTCTCACTAGAACCTCAGGTAACTACCTACCTGAATAGAGCAAGTCGCTAGTGAGCATCTCATCGATATTCAAGTGTTGGTTTGTAGGGATTTGATTGGTTACAGGACTTTATCATGAGCTGAGATTGGTTAGAGAACCATTGGGAAACCTGGGAGTACAACACAACTGTTTTTTCTTAGTTTGGAGATCTTCATCAGTACGCACCCACCGCCAGGGTTCGAACCCAGGACCTTCTGATGAAGAGTTCCGAACCAGGACGAAACAGCTGTTCAGTACTCCCTAGGTGGTTTTCTAATGGTTCTCTAACCAATGTCAGCTCATGATGAAATCCTGTAACCAAATCCCAGCATTACTTATCTCCAGTGATAAAAGTGTCAAGCGGTATAATATAGTGAGTAATATTAATTTGGGTTAGGTGCGGAGTGTTAGATAACACAGGTGGTGTCAGTAGATGGATGAATTTGTGAAGCTGCACATGATATTTATGCCAAACTACCGCCTTTCCTCGTCGAGTAATGTGTTAGCCACAGCATAGGATTGGTTTGGAAAAGATTTAGGAGTGACCAAATCAAACGATGCAATCAATCCTATAAGTCTTAGACTTTTGGTGTGAATCACATGAAGAGGTACAGACTGCCTGGTTGAGGCTGCACGCACTAATAACCAATCAAACAACAAGGGTTGTCAGGAGACCGCAACAATTATATTACTCACATGAAGAAAGAATTCAAACAAGTCCACTGTATTTTGATTGGACACTAGTAACTAGTGTGACGTGTCTAGTCCTTTAATTTTAGTGCAGACTGAATTCTATCAGTCAGGTTTTGCAATCTGGCCACCATGCCACTAGGTAGCTCGCCATCACGGTGCACATTGATTTGATGATATTAGGTAGTTGGAGGCAATCGGCCACAAGAAGACTTGGCTACACCTGAGTTTTGTGCTAGTTGGCACTCACCAGCCAGTCAGCAAGGTGTATCTGCAACCACCCTGAAGGAACTCATGCCCCTTCTGAGATTCGAACCAGCGTCACCCAATGCTGGAGTCAGAGACGTTACCACTGAGCTATTCGGGCTCGCGATAATAATAGAGGGACATGAGTTCCTTCAAGGCTGCAGATACTCCTTTCTAACTTGTGAGTGCCGACTAACACGAAACCCAGGTCAAGTAGGGCTTCCTGTGGCCGATTGCCGCCAACTATCTAATATCATCAAGTCCACTGTATATTCAAGTTTGCACTGAAGCTATTGATCCAGAAAGAGAATTAAAACCCCTCACCATCTTAGAGAAAACAACCATATCAGAATTGCCAATTTAAACTATATACGTCTTTTCTATTATGTGTCAGAAATTTACCTTATGACAAATTCTCACAAACACTGTTTAGTGCCGAGTTCTCAAATACTGTTTTGTAGGATTGTAATTGATCTCAAACTAGAGCTGAAATCAGTTAGATAAGCGTCATCAAAGACTGGACAGATATTTCATCCTAACTTAAGACTCTTCGACAGTATGCACCTATGGCTTTATTCAGGGACCATTGGCTGATGACTTATCAACCTACTCTCGCTCGTAACTGAAAGCCCCTGGATTCGATCACCGGTGAGTATTGTTGAAGAGTCTTGAATTAGGACAGTTTTCAACAGTCCTCTAGTTGATGTCAATTTGTGATCCAGCTTAGGACTTCGTTTTGAGTGTGTGAACACACATAACTGTTGAACTTTTGTTTTTGGTATAATCAAAAAGATGAGAAAAGTCAAAAAACAATGATAAAATAATACTAATATCATACATACTTGTAATGAAGATGGTCTTTGAGCTGGCATCCCATGTCGTCCAGCGACTGGGCCTACAGTACTACTCATTAAACCACTTCCAGTAACCGGATCTAATGTTGCATATCTACTTGATTCATCTGCTTCGAAGCTAACACCACCGACGCCTAATCCACCAGTAGCACTACCACCACGACCAGATAAATCAGCAGTTGGCAATGAAATAGGCGAACTTAATGATCGTTCATGTGGAGCTATTCCCATAATTGAAGCACTGGAAAGAGAGAAAAAAGAATAATTGAGTAGTTCCATATTAGTTTGTTTATAAGATGTATATATATTGTGTGTGTATATTGTGTAAAATACTGTGGTGCAGCACATACACATAAATATCAGTACCTATTATTGCTCCCTTAGATTTACAGAGTGGAACACACGGGGCTCCATTTCACTCTGTTCCCTGACTGGCTCCACGATTCCCCATAAACTTTCATCTACCCCCCCGCCCCACACGATCTCCTCCACGTCACACTCAGACTGATGCCCAACTCGTCGTCGTCTCCTATTTGGGTTCCATTCTCGAGGCGGACTAGTACATCGTGATAATGTTACTGCTCAAGGGTCTCCTCTCAGCGTATATCCATTCATCTTCATTTCCTTCCGCATATCTGTTGTTGGGTGATGAGTTCTAGGCTGGTTTATTTCCAGATTTATTCTCATTGCTAATCCTTTCTGATCGATCACATTTGATCACATCTTGAATGCAGTGAAGAGGGCAGTTGTTGATGAAAGTCGTCATCAGCAGTAGTAGTAGTAGTCTGTTGGAAAAAGGCTATATTTGTAATGCACACATCAAATCTTTGAACCGGATATAGAAGTACTGACTGATTTGACATTGGTGTTGAGCACCTGCATCTTGTTTCTTATGCTGAGTTCAACAGATTCTCAAGCTGATTTCACAGTAATGAAGGTCCCAGCTTTGCCATCCTCATCTGTGTTTCCCTGAATAAGTGAAAGAGGTGAGTCTGCTTCAAATTTCTCCCGCTGATAGTGAGTGACCGGTGTTGTTGGTTAGATATCCTCATCACTTACTTCTGTCTTCTCTATGTTCAACCTGAAGTCCTGTGTCTTCGCTGCCTTTTATGCTAATTTGTTGGTTTTCCCCCTGTAGATTTTCAACTTTGTGTGACATTTGACATATACCATCGGTAAAGTTCAGATCTCTCAGCATTTCTCTTCATCGGTTCGACGTATTCCTGTCTTCTCATATACAACGGTCTGTTGCATGATCCACTCCGCCCACAATCACGAATGTTGTCCGTGATAATTAGACAGCTCCTGTCTTTACTTCGAATTTATTTATTTTATTCCTTTACGTTCCCCCAATGGAATATGGGGCTTCAAGCTACAGCTTCAAAGTTTCTATAGCAGTTATTACATTTTATTATTGTTCCCTTGGGTTCCTAGTGGAACATACGGCTTCAACTGCACCTTTCCACTTGTCACTTCTGTCTTCCTTCTGCTGTACTTTTCACCTCCATCCATCCATATTAGTCCATACTCTTTCAACTCCTCCTCCTCCTCATCTTCACACGATCTCCTCCATGTCACCCTTCCACTGACGTCCCACTCGCCGCTTTCCTTTCGGCCTGGTTAAACTCCAGCAATGGTCTGACGCGCGCACGATGTCACCCAGCACGATGCCTCCTCACCGAGTGTCCAATCCATTTCAATCCACTTTCTCCTGCATATTTATTGGGTGATTGGTTCTTGTTTTGTTTGTTCCCATAGTTGATGATTCTTTCCGGCCATCTGATCTTCAGTATAGAGCGAAGACAGTTGTTGATAAAGGTTAAGTCTGCAACAGACTGTTGGAAATATTCTTTGTGACACACCCGCCAACTTTCTGATCCGTATAGAAGAACTGACTGACTTGACGTTTGTATTGAAAATCCTACTGAATTTTGTTGTTGATACTGAGTGACGAAAATTTCCAGATTAGTTTCAGGTTGATGAATGTGTTTCTCGCCTTTCCGATTCGCGATTTGACATCCTCGTCCGTTCCTCCTGTAGCAGTGGTACTTTATTTCTACGAGGTGGGGGGTCGCTAGCCTCACACGCCTAACCTTCCCTCTCCTTACCGGTTTTATTACCAGCTTAGAGAGGTAGAGGATTGCATCAGCTGGGGGGGGGGTTGAACGTTGGACTACATATGCCTGATTCGCAAGCATTCTACCGCTAAGCCACCGACGCTCTTCACTCTAAAGGTTTCGCTGAACTTTCTGTTGTGAACCAGTGGACATATGGCACTACCACATAGCAACGCAAACAACATAAAGATACCTTAATAAATTAAAAACTGAGTCCGACCAATAATGTATGTATTACCAAGATTGCTATTTGTTGAAATTATTCCGAATTTTCGGTTGATTTAATTCACTGGACCAAAATGCTTTAGACGTCACTAACTTTTAGGCTTCTATAGTACGGAAGCTTCTACGGTGTTTTCACATTAATTTGGTATTATTTGATTGATATCGGTTAGCAGCAGGGGAATCTCTAGGATGTACATAATCTCCTAGCCGGGACTCGACTGACTAGCTAGCTAGATGTATCTGAATCCTCAACAAGTGGTATTATACCCAGCAAAACTGAAACAGCCGTGCCAACCGTTTCAACAGCCAAAAGGCAGGTAAGTCGTAAGCATGGAAAAGAGGGTTAGAATATGACTTACCTAGAAAAACCAGTATCACCTTTACTCGGTTTTAAAGGTGTAGGCGAAGTTGGATAGCCAACATCACCACCACCACCACCAATTCCATACGCACCAAACGGTCCAACACCACGTGAACCAGCTGATATAGGACGAATCGAAGAGGAAATAGTAGTGCTTGCAGTACGACTTGGACCAATAGTTGTTGCAGCCGCCGATGCCGCTGTTGATGTTGTCGTTGTTGTCAGTGTAGTTGCACCCGATGGACTTACACCAAGATCAGATGGATTCAATCCGCACAAGCGTATAGCTGCGACAAGATTACGTGTATTTACACCACAATGGGATGCAACATTTTTCTCACATCTTTTATGTATATTTAAACGGCATACTTCACATTGTAAACCTTGTCGCATTAAACCAAATAATAGGGAACCACAATGATCACAAAATGCTGGCAGCATAAATGTATGTATTCGAAATTTATGCGGAACATTAATATTGAAGCGACTCTGTGGATAAACAAGGGGAGAAAAGAGAAGAAACAGTTTAAAGTGAGCAGTAAAAAAATCTCCGGAAAAGGATCTCCCATATCCCAGACTAATTATTAAAATAAATAATTTTTCCTTCACGTTCCCAGTGGAACATAGGGCACCCTCAAGCTAGTGGCTTGAAGTTTCTGTAGCAGTGTTTATTTTTTACAGGATGGGGTTACTAGCCTCATGCTCAACCTTTCCTCTTTACCAGCATTATTTCTGGCTTAGTGAAGCAAAGGAGTGCGCCGGCTGGGGATCGAACCCCGGACCATGTGCATGGTTGGCGAGCGTCCTAACCGCTGTGCCACCGACGCCCAGACTAATTATTACTACTGTTAAAACACAATCTTGGTACACTTAGGGTACTCTAAGAGATACACCAGACAAAATCTCATAATTTGTGTGAAGACTTGGATACCGCTTAGACGCACAGAACGAAGCAAGTAGTTGCCTTAAAGGGTCACTCCCTTTCCAAGTCTTTGATTTGAATTCTGATCCACAAGGCAGTAGAGATGAGTTTCCATGGTTCTCAGTGACCAAAACAGGTTCATACGCCATATTCGATCCTTTCGGATTCTGGAGTACGTTCGGAATCAGGGTTTTCTAGCTGCCCTAGGTAGACCAGCATGTCCACCAGTCCAGTTCTAAGCGCCAGATAAGGAACACGCCCTCCGCCACGTGAAGGTAGTGAATAGGACTTGACCGGTAGAAGCTATGAACGCGTGGCTACATGACAACACCCCCAATTAACGTCATCGCTGGAGTAGGCTTGATATCCGGTCATCAATCAAAGGAAGAGTGCAATGCGCACCTGTTACCCCTGTCCTTGCTTATGTCCTTCAAAATCATGACCATTGAAAGTGGAAGATAGGAAGAGGCTACCTGCCTTTGACTAAACACGTTTGCGTTTTATTTTCCGTATTAAGTGGTATAACATAGTAAGATTGAAGTCAAGCCTAGAGTGCTAGATAAAGAAGGGAAGTTAGTCGATGAGGTTCTGAGGTTACATCGACTGAGATGTCCAGGACATGTGTTACGCATGCCGAGGTATTGCCTTCCTTGGTAGATAACACATCAGCTGACATAAGATTAGATCGGAAAAGAGTTAGGGGCATTCAAACCGAAAACCGACATCAGTCGACCAAGTCTTTGACGCTTAGTTTGAACCAAATAGAGGGGTGTAAACTACCCACTTGGGGTCTTCGGGATGCTAAGAACCAATGTCTGGAAATATTCGCTATTATGGCTTAAAATCATCCCACACGGTTGGAATCACTCAACCTTTGCTTTCACAATTTATCAACTCTCCTATACTATCTATTCTACTTTACTGCTCACCATTAGTCTCTCCTGGGTTACTGAAAAAGGACTATACCATCCTGAGAAGGATGCTGAAGGTAGTTAGTAGGACTAGTGGTGTAAGACTCAGTCAGCTCGTCACTACATGGGTAGAAAGGCATCTGAATACATGCGAAAAATGGTCTAAAGACATACTCCCCGACCTCCAACACCCCCTCTATTTGCAACTCTCTCCTTGTATCTCATCAGGTAGAACCAGAAATCAGTACAAAATAATATATGCTCGTACAACCAAGTATAGAAACCCAACGATACCATATTTGACCCGTGTTCTAAGTGACAGAGACAATGTTAAGCGCGAAACCTATGACTTGCTTTGTTAATACCATAATTTTGGCCCCTTTATTTCTCCCTTATTCTCTCTTATTTGTATTCTATAGTGAACAACCTTCTTAATCATACTTAGCTACCTAAAATTATTAACATTGGCTTACTTTTTTGTACTTTATTCTATTCCTTCTTTTGTGTATTTACTGGTTCCGACTATATTATCACTATGAGTATTACAAAATTGTTCTGTCACTAACCAACATGTAATATTAGTTTTGTGATTGTTCTTTTTGTTCTGCAATATTAAACTGACAATCTTGGTTGTGAACGCCCTTATCACCATCCTAAAATCTTTGTATTATGCATGATTACTCACACTACCACTACAAACACTGCATTAGAGCTGACAATAAAAACCCTGAAATGTTTATTTTATGATTGTTTAGTGTTGTTCAATCAAATTAACTGATCATCTTGGCTATAAACATTCTTAATTCCATTTCATAACTTCTTGTATGATTATAGCTGTGACTGTTTACCACGCATACACATATCATAGCTTCCACTACCCAATATTGAAATATTATTTATTATTGTTGTTTATCGTCCTTCCTACTTGGTATTATTTATTAGTGTATATTTAACTTTGTCTACATTAATCCAGTTAACAAAATAGCGTATGTATATGAATATAACAATATAAGTTGACTTACTTGTAGAGCAGCTGTTGGACAACTTGGCGGTGATTTAACACCAGGACACTGGGTGATTACATTTAAATAACAACGTTTGTGTACAACACATGTGCACACTTGACACTGATAACCTTGATTCCATAAACCCCAAATAAAACCATTGCATAATGAACAAAAAGTGAATTGACGTAGACTTGTCACTTGAAATTTATGCCCCTTAGCTTGATGAATTCTTCGACGTAGTGCACCACATCGATAATGCTTTCCGTGTACCCCACCAATAGCACTATCTCTGCCAGGAAATCCTGGACGATCTCTAGGCGGTTCATCTGTTCGCGTACCGGCTAAGTCAATACGTATATGCAACTTTCCCTGAGGTTCCAACTCAAGCCACATATCTTCACCAGATCGTACATTACGTATAGCCAATTCAATGATGGCAACAAAATCATCCGGTGGGATAGCTGCATCATGATAGACAGTAAATGTAAGCTGTTGGGCATAACTAACTTCTGCACAGATATCTTCATTCCACTGGGGTACATTTGTTCGTGATTTTGTAGAACTTTTACCAATAGCAATATCATCAACATCTATTGTCACGTAAGGATCTAATAGTTCATATAATTTTGCAGCTGGTCCAACTGCATGTCGTGTAGCGCAAGCTGTCGGTTTTAATTCAGCTGCTTCAAATATTCGAATATTAAGTGTCCCAGAAAAATATTCCATGGAATCATACACTCTCAATAGAGAGTCTATAAAGGGGATGGAAATAAATAAATAACATTTATGAAAATATATACAAGACTATCCAAAAAATAATAAAGACTAATTACAAATAAACAGATACAGACAAGCAAACACTAAACTGGCAATAAGACTCTAGAAGATCTGAACTCTGTCGACAATTTTACAACGAATGTTGAACAAAAATCTGCAGACTCACAAGCGAAAACCAACAAGATGGTAGAAAGTGTAGCAAAGACAAGATTTTAGGTAAACAGAGAGAAGACAAAGGTGATGAAGGTGTCTAACTAACTAACAATCACCATCAACAAGACAAATTTGAAGGAAGTCACTTGTATCACCGATCTATAGGCAGCCTGTCTGTCTGTTTTCGACATAGAACTTTGCACAAATGTGCGGAAGTTCAAGTCGCCACACTCCGTGTAGCACGCGAAGCAAGAGAAGAAAGTACAAGAAAAGCATAATAGAAACAGTGAGCAGAGGTGTGAGACAAAGGAGTAATAAAGAAAAACAAAACAGTTTCATTGGAGATCATTAGTCACAGGGAGTGGATGCATCTGCACCAGCCACTGAGAACGATTTTGAGCCATGTCACCAATTGTTTCCAACCACAGATTTTTACCGTCCCGAGGACCCCAGCCTGGAAGTCTACACCTTTCTACGTGGCTTAGACCAACTGTTGTGGATTTCATTGACTGATGCCAAGTTTTTGTTTGACCGCCGCTAGCTTTTTTCCAGCCTGACCCTATATCCGCTAGCATAGCTCGTCGAGGGAGGCGATGGCTTGGCATACGTAACACATGTCCTAACCATCTCAGTCTTTGTAGCTTCACGACTTCGTCGATTGATTTCCCCTGTTTACCTAGAACTCTACGCCTAACCTCCATGTTGCTCACCTTATTATGCCACTTTACACGGGAAATAGAGCGCAGGTCTATAGGCAGCATGGTTTCCAATACAGACGGTGCGGATGAGCATGTCAAAAAGCCAGTCAGGATCTTGCCTAGTCATCGCCTTCCTCGACAATGGACATTGTTAGCTGACATAGGATCAGGTTGGAAAAGAGCTAGCGGCGGTCAAACCAAAACATAGCACCAGTCAATGAAATCTACAACAATTAGTTTAAACCAGACACGTAGGAAGGTATAGACTTCCTGACTGGTTGGGGTCCTCGGGACGGTAAAAACCAATGGTTGGAAACAATTGGTGACATGGTTCAAAATCGTTCTCAATGGCTAGCGGAGATGCATCCACTCCTTGTGACTTGTGATTTCCAATGAAACTATATTGTTCTTCGTTATTACTATTCCTTTGTCTCACACTTCTCTTTACTGTCTCTATTATGCATTTCTACTCTTGCTTTGTGTGCTACGTGGGGTGTGGAGACTTGAACTGCGAAAAGTTCTATGTCGAAAACAGACAGACATTGAAACTAGTTCTTCAATAGAGCCTTTTTTCTTATGGCATTTCATGCTTTCTGGCAGTTTACTTTCTTGCCTTTCCTTATGCCTACCTCTAATCAAGGTGGAAAAGTGTTTATCAGTTTTGATAGTAACACCAAGTTTGTCACTAATTTTGTTTACCTGATTCTGCGGGATCTATTTTAATAAGGAATAAATAGGAGAGATAATGATTCTCTTCTCCGTAGACCTTACTGCTGGTTGAGGTCTTTGAGATACTAAGGAACATTAGTTGGAAGTTCATGGTAAGATGTATTCACTTCACATTACCTTTCAGATGCTCGCCCTAACTGCTTTACACGTCATAACTATGTTTGTCATTTCTTGTCTGTTTGCTTTCTCGAAATGTAGTAATTCAAACAAATGTACTTCTATGCTAAGTTCTAAGATGATAGATCAGTCATGTCACTGATGACATATCGTTTTTTTCTGGACTTCGGTAATGTATCCATCCATATACTTGCATGTGTGACTAAATGAAGGCAAAAACCCTCACATTTTCAACTTTTTGATGTAAACAGTAGGTCATGAGTTGACTAAACACCTACCAAAGCGTGTCAGCTTAAGGTGCCTGGTACCATATTCGATATATCGCAGAAACAACGGTAAGGACAATCGACAGTATGTGACGCAATTTGATTAAAGGTCTTTCTAAATCCAGCAAACAGTGGTAGCTGACGATGGTGAAAGGGATAGAGAAGGCACTAACACCAGGTAATATCTATGAACTGATTAGATTTATTAAGCAAACAAACCCTAATTAGTTACAAATGAGATTATAGCGAAGGATAGAGCTTTAATAAGGTACTAGGAAAAATAGTTCTTATATTCGGGAGAACACTTTATGGAACAGTCTAAATGGCTTTTCGCCGCACTGCAGTTTTCCTCTATCCAAACCTAGCGTGAAATGGACTCGAGCATTAATCCTGCAAGCCCAAAGCGGTCATGAAAACTGTCAGTTCATAACGAAACAAAGCAGTAGACTCTGATGATTTGACTCCAGGTATGTTTAAGGATGATGGTGATGAATTATTGATTAAGATAACAAAGGTATTGCTTCGTGTATGTCAATATGAGGTAACTAGTAGTTCATTCACCATGTTTATAAAAAAGGGAACAAATCTTCCAGTGCTAAAAACTAATACAATATTAGAGATTGTTGGGTCCATTGTCATCCGATGTCTCAGAAAAAGAACTAAATCAGCCAGAACAATTTTTTTCATGGATCAGACCACAAGCGACACTTGTTCTGAGAGGAATGATGACATCGCCCAGTAGATCAGAACGAAGTAGGTGGGTGGGGTTTGGACCCAGGACCCGCTGGCTGAAAGTCAAGCGTCTAAGCCAATGAGCTTGTAGCGGTAAATTATTGACCACAGCACTCATTACTGAACATTGGATGCTGACCTTCACTGTTTAAGTCGACTAGTTTAGCTAAAGGCTTCCGGCCAAGCATCCACACCACTTGGTACTCCGTCGTGCCACATTCGTGCACGATCCCTACCCAGCTGAGCAATCATCTCGCACTCCGATTTGGTCCCGAAATATATCTCGTAATTTGGACGATCAAATATTATATTTTGCTTTGCCTTTGGTCTACGTGGAACGAATATTATAGTTGTGGGTATTAGATCTTGTGTTAGTATACTTCGTACTATCCATGAATGTCAATACCGTCAGCCTCTAAAAGTTGTATCGGTCAGGATAAAATAAATCCAAGGAAACTAGGCGGGTTTGTAGCTTGAACGGCAGTACATTGATTACACTTTCATCTTAGATTACTGGGCCAGATATACCAACCTGGTGAAATTGAAAAATAGATCCCTAAACTCACAAACGTGAAAATAACTGCTAAGTACTACGAAAGATTAGTTAGTATTCCAAGTTGTGATTATAGATAGAATTGAGTGTAGGATGAAGAAGCAGTTTCTCATAGAAGGGTTTTTATAACTAATTTTCTTAGTGGTTATTGTTCAATAGACTAGATTAAGTGTTGAGAATCTTTTACGAGTTAATCAGGTTTTGTACCGCTTTTTAATTTCCCTCTGGTATTGTACAGCATAATCAGTCCGATTTCCATAAACACTAACCTAATAATCAGTTTCCTCGTGTAACAGGTATCATCGCCTAGCGTGCTATCAAGTGATAGCGTCAATATGAATAATTTTAATGACTGATTGTGGAACCTAAACTATTTTCTTCCTCCTAAAGTCGGGCAATCAAAAACCAGTCTACACGGCTTTACCCGATAATTAGTTACCTCTTGCAAATGATTTCCGATAGTGGTAGCACTTGAACTTTCGCCTTGGGAGAGAACTGAGAAAGTTAAATGACTCCTAAAACAGGATAAACATATATAGTAAAGTAGCAGGAAATGACGTCGCGAAGTACTAACTACGACTGCAGAAGAACAGTTTTTCGAGTAAACGGGTCATTTATGCCTAAAACCAATGCTTTGAAGTAGATGGACTTGTTTGAAACTTATTATCCATAATTATTCTAGACTTCCCACAAACGAATGCGCAGTCACGATTCATTCAGCTACTGAATTTCCGAACGACAGATGGCTGCTAACACGATGTGGCAGTCGAGCTTCCACATCACAATGAACCAAACCAGCTACGCTGACTATAACGAATGTTTTTCAGCTCCTACCATGCCAGAAAGGTTGCTTTCATAACAGAAGTTATCACCACAGTGTAACTATGTTGGAGGTTCTATGCTAAAGACATACTGATGGTTAGTAGTGATATAACAGACATAAGGTGTTTCCCTCCGACGACCAGCAAATCAACTATGCTGCCCTTTTGCTGTGGGGAGGTGTGGTTAGTAAATGTCGACCCTAAAAATTGGAAATCTTGACTTATTTTGAGGTAATTCGTAGTCAGCAGTAAGATTGTCATATGGAAATTATTCCAAAGACTACTGAAAAAACATGTATTGTGGGAACAGTCTCTAACAGTTGCCTTCTAAACTGACCCCACGCAGATCCAGTGCTCTTTCTAGTTCAAGCATTTTAAGAAGAAATCAACTCCTACGTTATGAGCAACTGGGAAGTAATAACCTTCAACACACTCCCATAAGTACTCAAGATTTTCGGGACTAACCTTTACTCAGTTATTTACATCCCCGTAACTTCGCTTTATTTCTTGGATAAAAAACTTCAAAAAGAATACACTATTATATTTAAAAAAATTTATCTAATTAGGTAGTAGCTTCCAGTAAATGGACCATAATCTGGTATGCTTATATTTAGACTAAGATTTATCTATCGTACAATATTGTTTAGGAAGCTTGAAAACTATTCTATAGTCCAAGAAACATATCAATCAAGACCTGCATAACACTAATTTATACTAACCAACGGGGCATTGTATACGCTCAATTAGGTAATATATGTTTAAAAAATTGGCGAAGGACATAGTAGAAGTCAATGAGACATCAAACAATGTACTTTTAACCCTAACTTGCAACATGACACTTTCTTCGATTACACTTAATTTTTCATGATTAGCAGGTGTAGCTATCACACCAACATCTACATCCACTTACCCTCGGTTAGTATAATTTGGTCTAATCAGCCATTAAATTGACTCTTGTCATTTGTCAGTTGAGAGTGGAGTTAGGTCATCATCAAGACAAGGAACTTGCTGTAGCATTACAGTTAGGTAACAATACCTTAAGTATATATAGAGAGTAACGGTTACATGCTTGCGAACCACCAAGAGTAAATAATGAAAAAGTAACTACTACTGAAACATTTTAGCGTGAATCAGGTCTTTACGACAAGACTACTACCAGATGTTCTCTAACACAACTGCATCCACCAGATGTGAAGAATACTATGACTTACAACGATATGAGATTATACTAAATTTGAGGTATGGAGCCTATACCAATACTACATATGTAGTACTCAATATTGAGTGCAGACGGTAACTCACGTCAACTTTAAGCAACAAAATTGCTCAGGCGAATAAAAAACGACCGTCAAATATCCAAATTAATTGGGAATTTTACGAAAGAGTTATATTAAAATTAAGCAAGTGGAACTAACCTTACTTAATTGCCCATAACATGCAAATGAAAAGACATTGAAAAAGGCAATTCAGATAAACCGCTCCGCCATTCGTGGCTATTTAAACCACAAACACTCAAATATCCAAAGTAAGTACGATCTAAGAGGTGAAAATTTACCTCATCCCTAGAGTTTAAAAGTGAGATCTAAAAATTTATCCGGGTTACAGTCAAAAATATTAAAAACGAAAGTAAAAATTGGCCTGTATGATGGCATTTACGTAAACACCCCATAAGAACAAGTAGGAGAAAGAATACAAGCGATACAGAAAACCTTTCTCAGAGAATTTCCGAGACATTACGGCTGGAAGTAACGGCAATGAAAAACACTGAGTTTCCAGCTGTTGATCTTAATGTCAATAAAGTGTCAAATCCCACATTAGAAGCATGCCATGGATCGCCTAAAAAGAGAGAAAATAATGGCGGAACACTTAATTCACCCATGCGTCGGCGTGAATACAGCGAAATGAAGTTAGTGAAGGCTGTAAACTGGGTGAGATACAAAGTAATAGCAGGAATTCGCCAATCGTAGATGAAATTTGAAATACATATACCTCTAAAAGCAATGGTACGACAAGTAAAACTATTTTCGAACATGGAGATCAGGAAAAGGATATCTCACTCAGTCTCTGACCTCACTGCTGGCACGAGTGAGGAGGGTCAGGGAAAAACCTAAGTAGTGACAGGTTACTGCCCCATAGTCTTCTCATAGGAGTAAAAACTACCCGTAATGCAGCTCTGACCGCGCTAAAATATAAACCAGACTGGCTCTGCTGATATGAGTCAAAATGTGGTGTTTATATGCGTAAACAGGCTGAACTAAGGGGAATCAACGAGGCCCAGTGACCTTTACACGACACGTCTTATGGAGCATGCAGCTCGCCTAGCCTGCTAGCCTGAGGCTACTCCCATCACACTCAATCCAACAGCATGACGTAAAATATGCAAAAGCAACCCTATTTACGAAGAGAGGTTCGCGCAAATTACTAAAAACCACAGGCTTGTTGCGGTTACTAGCGCCTTGATCAAGTATATTGGAAAGAATAGTCAAGTAAGATATAATAGCATATATGGTGAAACTTGCTGGTAAACGGGGTCTGCCAGCGAGGGAAAGCTGTGTCGGGCCTAGAGGTTACCCATCGACGCTCCTCCCTTAGATTTAGGCGAGGAATTCACGAAACTGCATTACTCAAAGCTGCTCAAGAAATTGGAAATATCTGGGAATTGAGATGGGCATTCTTGGCAAGACCGAGGAATACCTACCTGGTAGAACCTTGAGGATCGACGACCTGGGCACACTTTTCGATTAATGTACTACATTTCCTTAGTTACATAGAACTCCCATTCTTCTGGTCTTCTGCCCAGGAGGCAGAATTCGTTGTAATACGTTTACCATCGAGTACTGAACCTGTGGATAGAATCGTGCTGGCTACTAATACCTATGACTAACATGTTGCCATCTTGTGACCGTTTAAAATAATATCTACAATTGTATATATTATTTGATTGATATGCCGAAATTGACATAAGCCAGTGAGTCTATGGTTCTGGTATAAATTTTGTTAACTGAATTTAACAGTGTTTGTTCTTGTTGATGCTGCTTTTCTTGTCATGATGTTTTGTTGTCATTCTGATTGCTCTATTTCTTTTCTTCCTGATTCTAAAGGGAACAACCCAAAAAGTCTCCCTCCTGTACCTTAAATATCTATTTAATAACTTCCTCCTCGGGTCTGAGGCTAGCAACCCTACCCTGCAAACAAAACTGCTATGGAAACTTCAGTACCACGAGTCTCCTTGCGACAAAAGAAAACGTCTGTGTGGAGACATGGAACGTCTGCGCTATGTATGAGACTGGCAAAGCTGCCCAGCCTGCACATGAGATGAGATGTGGTATTCAATTACTGGGAATATGTGGAAGCAAATGGAATGGGAGTGGACTCACCAAAATGTCAACGGGAGAGTCAGTGGTCTACTCCGGTCACCCAGAAGACAACCACATGCACACCGAGGGTGTGGCTATCATGATGTCACCAATGGTAACGAAGGCCCTGATACGAGGGGAGGCGATCTCGCCCAGGATGATGACCGCCAGATTCAACTCAAAAGAAAGGAAAGTGGTAATTATACAATGCTATGCACCCACGAGCAACGCAGATCTAGAAAGGAAGAAGAATTCTACAGACAACTACAGGCAACAATTGACAATACGCCGGTCGGTGCCATTAAAATTCTAATGGGCGACGTGGACGCCAAACTGGGACCAGACAACACAGGAAGAGAACTCATTATTGGTAGAGGTGCACTCGGAGAGATGAATGAAAGCGGAGAACTCTTCGCTGACTTCTTTGTCTTTAATGACCTAGTGATTGGTGGCAGTGTATACAAGCGCAAGGATATCTACAAGGCTGCATGGACGGGCGAACCAAAAATCAAACTGGCTTCATCATAATTCCAAGGAATTGGAGACGCAGCTTACTGGACACAAAAGTAAGAAGAGAAGCAGACGTTGGCTCAGACCAATGTCTTGTACAAGGAACACCAAATCAAATTCAATAACCATACGGCCTGGTTCAGACAATGAGTGTAATTATATATATATATATATATATATATATCAAATATTTAACTGTTGAAACATTATTAACTTGTAGACAATCTAAGATTTGACATTTACCATACCTGATCGTGCCTATAAAAATGGCATGCATTTTCATGTACATTTATGTTTATATGAAAATATAAATTATTATTATTATTAAAATTTGTGATGATGAACAGGTTTCACGATGGAGTTTGTTCTGTTAGTCATCATATGCGCTAACAATGTTCTGAATGTCTACCAGGTTCTACTTAATTCAAAACACTTTTTGAGTAATACAAACGTAGAAAACAGCACTACTATGCATTTGCAGTGCCCCAATGCAATACCATCGAAAAGAGAACACAGAAGAAGACAGCAAGAGAGGTGCAGAAGCAGCCAGCGAATAATAATATAAACAAACAACATGTGATAACCACAGGGTCCATTTCCTTTTTTATTACTAAGAATTTATGGTCATCGAATTTTACAGCGTTACATTCTAACGGTTAGTTCATGTTTATGGTGGAAAAAAATTAAATAAAAGAACAGGGAGAAACCAACGATGATGATTTTCCCACTTATATAGGATATCGCTGAAAATGGATACGGAAGAAGTTAAATCCGAACGCCAAAGTACATAAAACATGTAGAAGAAAAGCGAAAGTTTAGTAATATTTAGGCTGCTGTTCTGATTCATACAGTTAGATGTCCTTCTGAAGTACAGAAATCATACCTATTCAAAATGTCAAAGAAATGAGGCTTAAATCAATGCAAGGACTGGCGCGGCATTATGCTCCTGACTATCCCAAGCAAAATACTGAGCCTCTCTCTAACTCAACTTCATCTACCTTGAAAAGGCCTTCGACGATGTCGATCGAGGGGCTATTTGGAGACTACTTCTCTACTACGGGGTGCCGCCAACAGTTATACACCTCATCCAACAGTTGTACGATAATGCTGCATGCCAAGTAATTCACAACGGGAAACTCGCAGAACTCTTCAAAGTGAAGACGGGAGTAAGACAACGCTGGCTGTCTACTGTCTCCAGTGATTTTTCTGATTGAGGTAAAATGGATAATGCTACAGAGAGTGGCGGGCAAGGAAACAGACCTAAAGTTGGCTCACACGAAAAACTTGGAGGATCTGGATCTAGCCGATTATATATGTCTGATTTCCCACAAACTGGAAGATATGCTAGTGAAAAGCAACAAGTTGGCAGAAGAAGCATTAAAGATAGGATATCACTTAAGGTGAATATAGAGAAAACAAAGATGATGAAGATTCTTGCCCAGTACCAACTAACAGCAACAACGACAGACAGCATAAACGGAAGAAATATGAAAGAGGCAACCTCCTTTACCTACCTATGAAGCATCGCTCCAACCACAGGCAGACGGAACTGGTGAAGAAATCAAAGTAAGAACCGGGAAGCAAGGCAAGCCTTCATCACTCTCAAGTCTGTGTGTAAATAAGCAGTACTCGACATGAAATATAAGATCCAGATTTTCAACTCCAGTGTGAAGTCAGTCAGCACTACTTAACATACGGATCAGAGATTGGTGCGTCACGAAGGACACTGCGAACAAACTACAAACCTTCATCAATAGTTGTCTTCGCTCGATACTACTCAAGATCAGAAGGCCAGAAAAGATCAGCAACAAGGAGGGATCTCTGGGAGCGAACCAACCCAGTAGGAACCAATTGTGCTACAAATATGTAGGATGAAATGGAGGTGGATTGGTTGGCCATACTCTGAGAAAACAGACCATCAAGTGATATGACTAGACAAACCCGAAAGGGAAGCGGCGAGTTAGTCGTCAGTATGAGAGTGACATGGAGGAGGCCATGTGAAGAGGAGATGAAAGCATGTGGGGAGACGTGGAGCCAGGTGAAAACTTTAGCAGAAAACCGAACGTGATAGAGACGTTCGGCTGAAGCCCTATGTTCCTGTAGGAATTAAAGCAAACAATAATAATAGCCGGAGAGTCCTAGAGTGGCTTCCAGAACGCTTCTGTGCACTATACGATCCAATTCCAGTATCAAGACAAGTGTCAGATACTTTCGACAACCACAAGCAGAGCAACGCGAGTATTCTAAACTTAACACTGGAAATATACCAGCATATTGTTCTAAATATTATCATTTTGTCCAAACTTCTGGCAAACGTTCCGTGTTCTGACTGATGAGAGGGAAGAATCAAAAGGTTGGGCAAAGAGGCATTTTCGACACTAAGTCTTGTAGACAGTATTACCGCAATTTACATACACAAGTCCTCACAGTAACAGTTATTATTTATTCCAAAATCAAAGCAGCTAGAGATTAAGGGAGATGAGAGTTTTCACCTCTACACAGAAGTCTGCAGATGTGACAAAACGTGAACATAAATCACAATGGGCAATGGGCTTTTAAAGCCGAACAATAAAGCGTTAGGTGAATGGTTTTGAACGAAGACAGGTGTAAACAGGATGAACATACAGA